AAAACAAATATGATAATATTTTCTTCCAACGATGATTTTTATTTATATGTTTCGAATATCCATCCCTGCTCCACTACTCCATTGTTGTATATTTATTGGTGATAAAATTTATTTTTAGATTACAATTCCTGAAACATGAACATTTCTAGATAAAATAAAATTTATTATTTAAAATAGGACAAAAATTCCTCATTAAAAATAAGAAAGAAATATCGTAATGAATATATTTAATCATAATTTTAAAAAAATTATCTAACTTAAAAAATCTTATGCAACATAGATGTTAAATACTAAGATTAAAAGAATTGAGGAAATAGTCTATATAGAAAAATATTATTGTCGTATTAGGAATTAATACACATAATTTAATTTGAAAGAAATATCTATTTTATTCATTCTTTTCATGTGGTGTGTTAAGATAAAAATTAATTTAGAAACTTAATCCAAAGGAAGTAGACATATATATCATGTCAACATTAAAATTTGTTTGCCTCTCCGAATTTGTTGAGACACAATAAAAGGAAGTTTAGATAAGTATCTTTATTTTACAATTAAGTATAATTGATTTAAGAAGGAAATGAAGATTACAAATCTAGCTTATTCGATGCTTGTTGCATGGAAAATAAATAATATTTTATTATCCTTTAGCATATCCATCTTCATGTATTCCAAAATTTGATGGTCTCAACTATTCTCATATGATTCCCCTTTTGCAAAATAAATTATCAAATCTTAAATCATGTATAAGGGAAAAAAAATTAAAAGCGAAAAAAAATGAAAGAATATCACTTTAGATTTTCTATGTATCCCAAAATTTGATGGCCTTGACAATTCTCATAAGATTCTCCTTCTTTTGCAAATTATGTTTGAGAAAAAAAATTAAGAGTGAGAAAGGAGGAAGAAAGAATATCACTTTAGATTTCCAATGAGAATTGCAATGTGAAATAAGAATTGGACAATATAAGTGAATGATTAAATAGGTTAATTTAGGTAAAAATTGATAATGAAAGGTGGATTTCTTATGTGTCTCAAAATATGATGACATTGACGGTTTTCATAAGATTCTCATTCTCTTGCAAAATAAATTATCAAATCTCAAATCATATTTGAGGGAAAAAAATTCAGAGTGAACAAGGAGGAAGAAAAAATATCACTTTAGATTGCTATGTGAAATAAGAATTGGATAACATAAGAGTGAATGATTGTGAAATAAGAATTAGATAACATAAGAGTGAATGATTGAATAGATTAATTTAGATTAAAATTGATAATGAAAGGTGGATTGAGTAGAATAATTAATAAAAGAGAGATATAATAGAAGATTGTTTAAAAATTGACACAAATAAATTTCTTGAAGTGGCATAGGATAATCCAATCAATGATGTGACAACATAACATTGAGTAACTCGACTTTTATTTTATAAATAAATTTCATAAATATTTTTAATTATATTTGACCCATTAATTCAACTAGTGTCCTACAATATTAAGTGTCCAAAATTAAAATATAATAAATATTTTGTTAATTAGTATAATTCTAGAGAGTTTTTTATTGACAGATTAAGATAAATTTTTTTAACTCAAGATTAAGATAATATTAGTCATTAGAAGTTCTCTATTAAGATTACATCCATGTGTGCATCATCAATACATGTAAATTAATAAATTATTCATAATAACCTTATAACAAAAATTAATTTAAATTAAAATTATAAAAGACTTGATTATTATAATCTTTATTATGATAATAAATCTTTAATTTTAATCAAATACCTTATCAAACCAATTATTTAATTTAATGAATACTTTATCATTAAAACTAAAATTTATTACATGATGAATACATATTTACACCCAACAGAACTTCCCATATAATAAACACTTCCACACAAGGCTCAATACCACATTGTATTTCTTGAGCATAGATCTCTTCTTTTTACTATTACACAATTTTCTCAATAGAACAATTGCCACATGTTATGACTTAGGCATATAAAAGGAAGCACACTAGTTTATTAGGTAGAAAAATCTCATTTAAATACACCTCAATTAAACTTGTTATTCTACTAATATGTGAACCTCTTGACCATACAAAAGGGATAGAAATTGATAAAGCTGAATTACATACCAAATTAACTCACTTAAATTTGTGCAGAGCCAAAGCCCATAACAGCCTTCAGCACATCAACTAACTTAAGATGTGCAGTTAGCTGAGGGAAATGGCCACTCATGTCTATGATCTCCAAAGTGGACATCCCTTTCATTTTCTCCTCCAAATAATTCCCTACGCTTAGTGGAACTGCCGCATCATTACTTGACTGGATGATAGTGTTATTTTATGTGATTCTTGTTCTTCATCTGTTCAATGTTTTTGTTTTCAGTTTTTTAAAATTTTGGAATTTAGTTATCTATATTTTAGAATTTCATTATCATGTTCTGTTATGTTGTTTTCTATATTAAACCTATAACGTTGTTCCCAATTTTGTTTTACTTATAGCACAATGGTATGCAGTAAGCACCCAACACTAAAGTCATGCATCCAAAAAGTTTGTTTTTTTATGGTTTTGTTTTTAATATATATATATATATAAATTTTGTCTGCCATAAGCCACCACGCC